ACGCGCACGCGCACGCGCACGCGCACGCACACGCACGCGCACGCGCACGCGCACGCACACGCACACGCACACGCACACGCACACGCACACGCACACGCACAGCCGCCGCTGTCGCCTGTCGCGCGTCAGGCCATTCCACGGCCAGCCACGCAGGGCAGACTGCATGCCTCTCCATGTTCGTCCTGCTGGCGTCCTCTTTCCAGAGCTCGCTCGCTCTCGGTCTTGATGACCTGTCCAGCTCCCCCTCACCGCGGCTGGTCGTGGGGGAGGGGTTCATTAGGGAAGCTGTGAGAAGGGAAGCGAAGCGGACAAGCGAAGCGGAGAGGGAAGAGGGTCTGGAAAAAAGGTGGCACCCAGCCCTCTTTCCAGAGCCTCTTCCCTCTCCGCTTCGCTTGTCCGTGTTGCGCGCTGCTTGGCGAGCTCCCCGACCTCGGCCGCCTTCTGTCACCTCCCTTGGGCTCACGCCTCTGGCAGCCTGGCGCGCGGCTGTTACTTGCAGTTTGAATATCCACCAGTTGCCGAGCCCCCTCTGTTGGAGGCTACGCCGTTTCGGGTCTGTGCGCCCGCACGAGTCCCCATCAGCTGGAATATCCACCAGTTGCCGATCCCCTCTGTTGGAACCGAAGCCGAAAACAAATGCATGAGCATAAACTGTCGCCGCATCGACTCATCGGGCCGTCACGGCGCACCGTGTAGGTAGGCAGGATGTCGTGTGACCCGCGGCAGGGCAGCGGCTCCCGCCAGAGCTCGGCCGTGACCCGGCGTGGCAGGCCCGTGCCCAGCTCATCTCTACTGACAGATTGACGTCGGGAGGCGTCGGGAGGCGTGGCCGCAGGCTGAGCAACAGGTCGGCTCCGGCTTCTCAAGGAGGCCATGGTCGAGGCAGCCGTGGGGCTCCGGCAGAGCCCACCCCGCACCGTGGAGAATGACGAGGTGGATGCCCAGCTGACCTGGACGATGCGACGCCTCTGGCACTGGCAGTCGGGCCATTGGCACCTTGTGAGCAACGCCCAGGCTGCCTGCCCAGCCCTTCGCCACGTCGTTGGCTGGCAGCGTTCCGCCGCGCTGCAATGGCTTCGCGACCATGCCCTTGACCTTGCCGTCAGACAGGCACGACATAGGGGAACAAACAATGACATAAACATAAAAACTCGGAGGTCCGCGCGGATTTCTCGGATCGGCGCTCGACCCCCCTCCCTGGCGCGCGGAGCGCGCCAGGGGTGGCGCCGGAGGCGCCGCCAGGGTGCCCCAGCGCCGATCCGAGAAATCCGCGCGGACCTCCGAGTTTTTACGTTTATGTCATGGTTTGTTCCCCTGCGACAGGAGCTGGAGCAGTCGCGGGCTGCTCAGCGCCTCGGGGATCCCGCAGGCATCGTCCACTCTGTAAAAACGGTTTTTTGAAGGCAGATCTGCCTTCAAAAAACCGTTCTTACAGAGTAGACCAGTCTTTCCTTTTTGAAGGCAGATCTGCCTTCAAAAAACCGTTCTTACAGAGTAGACCAGTCTTTCCTCCTTGTGGGCTGCGGCAGCGAGGGCTGGCCACGCCGCGGCTGTTGCGCCCCTCGAGCGGAGGGGTCCACAGCAAGGCGGTGGAGCTCGCCGGCGGCCAGGCCACGGTCTGGCCGGCAGCTCGTGGCCTCGACGCTGGTCCACCTCTGGAGCCAGGCTTTAGTCGGGCGTGTCCCCCTACAGGGGGATTTTCGACGAAAAAAACAAAATACACCAGGAATACTCCAGAAATCGTCCAAAAGTAGTTTGGGGATTATTTTCGAGTATTTTCTGACCTTTTTGGGGCATTTGGGGGGTATTTTTTTATTCTTCATCGAAAATCCCCCTGTAGGGGGACAGGCCCGACCTAAAGCCAGGCCTTCCAGCTGAAAGGAATCTCACACACGCACATGTGATCGTCGACTCCAAGGAAAAATTGGAACATATGGGAAGCGGGGGGAAGACAGAGACCCAGAGAAAATGGGAAATATGGGGAATCTTGTCATTTGTGTCTATTTATTTGTGTGTCCCGGGGCCCCTTCAGAATCGACCGCACCGTGGACCTAGCCGCGTGGACAGCAGGTTGCCGCAGCTCGCTGAGCTCTCCCAGGATTGGGACATTACGGTGGAGGACGTGAGGAAGGCGGTTTGCTCGTCGGGCTCGTCAGCCCCAGGTCCCGACGGTATCTTTTTACTCCCTGTGGAAAGGCATCGGTGAGGCGGGTCGCACGGTGCTCCACGGTTGCCTCATAGCGCTCATGGTGGATGGATCGGCAGATCGGCTCGCAGAAGAATTTGGTTCCTTTGACGATTGCTTCGACCGTTGTGACTTCAATGCGAGCCTGCTGGTTCCGCTCACGAAGAAGCCTGTCCGCGTCGACCCTGAGATGGGCCAAGTTTACCAACCAGAGGACACTAGACCGCTGATGTTAGTAGACACCTCCAACCGCACTCTGGCCAGGTCGCCCCGACTGAAGATCGAGCCAGCGGTGGAAGAGCTGGTCAACGACTGTCAGCGGGGCTTCTTGCACGGCAGGTCCATCCTCGCCAACATAGTCGAGCTCGGGGCCATCATGCAGGAGGCTGTCCTCGGTTGGTCCCGGCCCACGGCGTGGTTCTGTGACATGAGAGCCGCCTTCCCGTCGATCGAGCACGACTTTCTGCACAAAATGCTGGAGTTGTGCAGGCTTCCACTGCCGCTGCGGACTGCGATCCGGGCGCTCTATGCAGATCAATGCTGCTGCTTGACGATGCACGGGGAGCGGCGGGGCGGCTTCCGCATTTTCAATAGGATCCGGCAAGGATGCCCACTGAGTCCGCTCCTATATGTTCAGGAGGGGGAAAACACACACAGACGTAAGTAATCGTCGATTTCCCCGAAAATATGGGAAACTATGGGAAGTGGGGGGGAAAACCACAACCCAGAAAGTATGGACAACTACTGGGGGTCTTTTCGTTTGTGTATATTTATTTGTGTGTCCCGGGGCCTGTTCATATGTTCTGGCTTGGGCGCTGCGTAATGGGGGGGTCATAAATGGGGGGGCGGCGAGGGTGGTCCGAAAAGGTACCCAAACGGTACCTAAACGAGCCCCCTGGGGCTCTGGAGGGGCCCGAAAGGGGCATGAAAGGGGACCTTTTCTGACCCCCCCATTTGTGACCCCCCCCCATTAAGCCACGCCCAACTGGCCGCTAAAGCTCCCAATCGGGCGTTTGCGCTGCTTGGCGGGCGCGCTGCCTACAGAGCGTAGTTATGCTAACGATATTGCGCTGGCGGCGGAGGGCGGCCCCGTCCGATGGCGCGCCGTCGAGCGGCATTTTTCGACTTGCTGACGAGGGCTTCAGGGCTCCACCTCAACCTACACCTTAGGCGATGCTTCAGAAAACTTAAGTCTTCGTCCAGAGTCTCGATTATTCTTACTTTTTCAATGTAGATCCCAAGATTTCGATAGAAGTTCTGGGTTAGATTCAATTTCTGAGACTATGAATTTCTTAACCCATGATTTCCTAAGCATTTCGCAGGGTGTACACATTGCTCATTTTGGATTCTTCGAGATTTCCCTGATTTGTTTGGGGCCAAGATCCTTTCATTTCTGCTTGGTCCATCCTGGGCCTCTTCCTGGCCACTGGGGGGGCCCAGGCACAAGCAGAAGCGAGCACAGTTGGAAAGGAGCACGGTTAGACATGAACGGCGTGTACAGAATCGGGGGAACGTAAGACCCGGGTTTGCCAGGACTCGGGTTCGCCATCTTTTTTTGACGACCGCGCCTCGGATTTCGACGAGGAGGAGTTTCGTGGGATGTCTGCAGCGGGAGGCCTCGTCAAAATGCAGGCTCGGCCTCGTCATTTTTTTGACGACCTCGTCGGGGATTTCCGAGTCCCCTGTACCCAGGTCTTACGTCCCCCTGACAGAAGTCGGTGGTCATCCCAACCTGGGACTGGCGCCTGGACGCTGCCATGCGGGAGTGGGGCCCGCACGTGCCGGAGCGGGGCAGCATGCGGGTGTCGCACAGCGCGGCTCGTATACCTTCAGGAGGGGAAAAAACACACAGACACAATTAATCCTCGATTCCCAGGAAAATATGGGAAAATATGGGAAGTGGGGGGGAAGACAGAAACCCAGAAAATATGGGAAAATATGGGGACTATTTTTATTTGTGTGTATTTATTTGTGTGTCCTAATTTCCCTTTAAGGTTGGCCCTCTGGCAGGCGGAGACGCTTGGGTGACGCCGGTAAAGAAGTTCAAAGAGGCCGCGGTTGCCTGGGCGGAGCAAGAGCTGGGGATGGGCCTCACAGTGCTGGCCTACAACACGCGCGTTCTCCCTAAACTGACGTAGGCTGCGCAACTCCAGGGCTGCTTCCAGGATTGGCCAGCCTCAGAAGGAAAATTGGCCATCCAATGCTTTTTTCCAGGCCCGGCCGGGTGGCTGCCGAGCTCGATTGCGCACTGCATGCAGGACGAGTTGGGCATGCCATGCCGATGCAGATGCACTCGCTGACGACGGCAGGCCCAGCAGCCCAACTCCGAGCAGCGACCGTCGAAGGCGATCGCGGTCAGCAGCTGCGCCCGCCCGCGGTTGCAGGTGCCGCGTCACCTCTTGCGCGGCCGGCAGGCTGCCACCTCGACGCTTGGGACGTCGAGTGGCGGTGGCATGCATGGTTTCGCCACGGCCCGGCGCAGCGGCTGCAGTAGGTCCAAGACGCTCCCGCGCGAGATGGTATCACAGCCCAGACTGCTGTTGAAGCCTCTCTGGGGTCTACCCCCCGGCCAGACACTTCAGGGCGTTGGCGACAAGCTCGTAAGGAGCTTCAATCAGCAACTGCGCAGCTTCTCTGGCAGCGTCGGTGGGTCCGCTCAGGCCAGTGGGATCTTCGGCGGAAGCATCAACAGTGGGGCCCGGGTCCCTTGGAGGGCCGGCGGGCGATGGTACTCCAGATTTGGTAATAAAAGGGAGGGGGTCTGGACCCTCCAAGACAAGCCATTTCAGACCTCCCCCGTGGGAGAACCCTCCAAAACATCGTCCCCAGACCCCCCCAGGCCCTCCAAGATAGCCTGGAAGAGACCCCCCCCCGAAATGAGACCCCCCTCCCTTTATTACGAAATCTGGAGTATGCAAGAGGGTGATGAAGACGCTGCCCAAGAGGCCAGCCCCTCCCACCCGCGCGGCCGCTCTCCGCACCCGGCTGATCGGGCGGTGCACGGCTCGGCGCTTCGGCTCCCGCGGGCGCCCCTGCCGTCCGGGGGGGCGCCGCGGGCGAGGACTGCCTCCGTCACTGCCTGCGCTGCCCAGCCAGTCCTGAGGGAGTTCGGCTCCCGCCAGTTCGGCTTGCACCTCCCCCTCCTCCTCCTCCTCCTCCTCCCTCCTCCTCCTCCTCCTCCTCCTCCTCCTCCTCCTCCTCCTCCTCCTCCTCCTCCTCCTCCTCCTCCTCCTCCTCCTCCTCCTCCTCCTCCTCCTCCTCCTCCTCCTCCTCCTCCTCCTCCCCCCCCTCCTCCTCCCAGGACCCGGGAACCTCAGGGCGGGCGCGCGCGGGCCGCCCTGCTGCGGGAGACAGGGTGCCGTAAGGGACGCCTCGCGCAGCTGGCGACGCTCCTGGCCGCGGCCTGCCAGACGCACAGCATCCTCCGACATCGCCGCGGCGGCCCGCGGCGGGCCCAACAGTTCCTCGTCCAGGTGCTGCGGGAGGTGCGCGCGCAGGCGGCGGCGGGCGAGCAGTGAGAGCGCCAGGCAGTGCTGCATTCGTTTCTTTTGCATTCGCGAGCTTGTTGCCAGTCGCCCCCCCCCCTTCTCTCCCTCCCTCCCCTGACCAGAGCTATTTTTTAGCACTGGAAACCTAAAAACCTAAAAAACGAGACGAAACAGCCTAAAACCAAGACGTAAACTAGCTCTGGGATAGGTTTTTACGTCGGGTGCTATTTTTTAGCCCTCCTGGAAGGTCAGGGTCTTCTTCCCCAGCCCTCCTTGCGTCCGCTCGGGGTCACCGCGTCGACCAGCACAGGCCGGTTGGACGATGTGTGAGATTTGGCAGGGCCCTCCGTCCGCAGGCCGCCCAGCGTGCGCGATCCGCTGGGGACGACTTTGCGCCACGCCGGCAGGGGCCGTCTGGCAGCACGAGCAGCAGCAGGCGGATTCACTTCCCCCCCCCTCGTCTCTTTCTTCCCGCCTCCTCCTCCTCCTCCTCCTCCTCCTCCTCCTCCTCCTCCTCCTCCTCCTCCTCCTCCTCCTCCTCCTCCTCCTCCTCCTCCTCCTCCTCCTCCTCCCGAATCGTGATGCCGTCTTCCTGGGCCGTGCCGCAGGTCCGATCGGATCTCTGCAGGGCCGTGGAGGTGCCTCGAGCGCTCGACTGGAGCGTGCACTCGCCCTCCTCTCCCTCCTCCCTTCGCCTCCTTCTGCCGCCTCGCCCCTCTTCCTCTGAATCGCGGCGCCGATCGCCGGACCCGAGCCCGCGGGCAGAGCCACGGCTGTGGAGGCCCCGAGCGCTCGGCCAGAGCGCGCTTTCGCCCTCCCCTCCTTCCTCCCTCCGTCCTCCGCCCTGCTCCGCCTCGTTTTTCTTTCTCCCAATCGTGGTGCCCTTCGTTTGATCCGAGCCCGCGGGCTGGTTCACGGCTGTGGAGGCCTCGAGCGCCCAGCCGGAGCGCGCAGTCGGCTTCCTCCCCTTCCTTCCTCTGTCCTCCCCCTCCCCTCCCCTGTCCTCTGTCCTCTCCCCTGCCCTCCGCTCCCTCCTGCCCTTCCTTCCTCTGTCCTCTGTCTTTCCTTCCTCTGTCCCCCCCACATATACCATGCACGTGCTTCCGCCGGCCCCCAGCACCCAGGCAACCCAGCCAGGCCAAGCCCCAGGCGTGGTCGAAAAATAAACCTTTTAACGTTCGGAGCGGGGTGGCCCTGGACCCCCCTTGGCGTTCCTCTAGAGGCAGCCTCCGGCAGCAACCCAAACCGCCCAGGCTTGTTTGGAGGCTCGGGCCGAAGCCGTGCATGGGGAGCCCGGGGCTCCAGCGGCAGCCCTCCGGCCAGGCCTCCTGTGGTCCGCCCGGCCGCCGAGGCGCCTCAGAGCCTCCTCTGGTGCGCGCTGGGCTTCGGGGGCTGATAGGTACTCCAGATTTGGTAATAAAAGGGAGGGGGTCTGGACCCTCCAAGACAAGCCATTTCAGACCTCCCCCGTGGGAGAACCCTCCAAAACATCGTCCCCAGACCCCCCCAGGCCCTCCAGGATAGCCTGGAAGAGACCCCCCCCGAAATGAGACCCCCCTCCCTTTATTACGAGATCTGGAGTAGCATCAGACAGCCAACGCCCAACCACTCCTTGCACTTTTTTTGCCGGTGTCTCCTCCTCCCATCTGCTGGGTCCGTCCCCCTCTGCTTGCTGGTGCGATATGCAGCCGCGGGGGGCTCACGTCTGCCTGTTTGTCTTGCTTCCGCCCCCCCCTCTCTCTGCTTCCTCTCTCTCCCCCTCCCCTCTTCCTTGACAAGCACCTGCGCCAACGCATACGGTTGGGACTTTGATTTTTCCACCACGGC